ATATTGCAAAATCGAATAAAGACTGGGACGGAGCAGACAATTCATCGAAAATGCAAAGAAAATGCTGCCGCATGCTGTCTAACGATAGCCACGAAATCCTTCTGATAGGAAAATAAAATTAAAAAAATTAATAACAGTAATATCTTGATTAATAATAATAATAATAATAATAATAATAATAACAATTATAATAATAATTAAAAAATAAAATAATAATAATACATACATACATACATACCCAGAAAATATCTCAATGTAATATGCTCAATAAATTTGTAAAAAAAAAATCATTTATTTTGGTAAAGGATTGTATCAAGAGTTAAATCAGGAAATCTGAAAAATAATAATAATAATAAATAATAATAATAATAATATGAAGAGCCTTATCGATGTAAATTGTGTGTGATCTTAGTTTTTATGTTGTTTTATTTTACGAAAATGATCAGTGGAAAATGTCATGAAGCCATTTCTGAACTTAGATCTCGGGTTGGGACCCGGAAGGAAATCTATATACAACAGCAGTCCAAGAAAATAATAATAATAATAATAATATGATGGTGATCATGCTCATCTTGGAATTTTCGGTTACTTGAATAGCTATTAAGAAGAATTAATCAATCATTTTATTAATTCCTTTTAGAAACTACTACTACTACTACTATTACTACTACTACTAATAATACTAATAACAATTGGGGGCACACAGGTGGCAGCGTTGTTTCGAACAGCTTATGGTCTGATGAAAGTGTTGTGTCTCTAAGTTGCAGGGAGGAGCTAAGGTATAATCATCCTCCATCCCCGGCCGAAAGATCTAAGAGTAGACAAGCACATTAAATAACAATAATAACAACCTTGATATCACACTAGGAGTAGCTCTCATGGCTCTTTGAAGCTGTTAACATGTACATGGCGAATTAAGATGGGCTACAATAAATATCCCGTTCAGTACCACAGGTTTGCTTGTCAATTGCCTGAGCTAAACCAGTTGGACATGTCTTCTAGCGACTGAAGCATTTTTTGTTCATGAACAGGAGTAGTGCGGATATTATGACTGGGAGACGGAAGGATTGTTTTAAAGGATTAGGCAGCCAAGGCAACTCTGGAGTCACATTTAGATACTTGGAAACACCCTCAATCGGAGGCTGTCTGAGTGAACTACGTTACGCGACCTGAAGATATTTTTTAACTCGACCTCACCTGCAAAGTTATGTGTTGATTTTAATTTATCACCTTAATATGCACTTTGTCTGTGATGCATCTGTTTGCTATACACTTTATTAGACTCGATGTCATGATAAGCAAGAAGGCTTCGAATATTTGTACCCAGCGCAATTTTGTTTTTGTGCTTCTCTCCCACTCACTAATAGTAATAATAATGCAATTGGTTGTAGCAATCATAAAACGAGCCGAAAACACCTACATACACAGAAAGTCTTTGCCTTTGACACTACTTGCCCTATTGTTGACATACTATGCTTAATCTTATAACTTTGAGATGCGACTATTTCTTCTTCTATGTGACGTGTCTCTTCAGGAAGTGGGCGATCATGGTCATCTACAATTTCCTGTCCTTTGTAGCTCTATGAAGTTGTCTCTTTTTGCTATCTCAATAACCCCTGGTCTGCTAATCATTTACACAAGCTAATTAGGTAGGTTAGGTACCGCTTTCCTTCGTCTCTCTTCCCGTCAGTATGTCATGTGAGTGTAAAATTCTCCAAGTCCTCTTTCCTCGTATCTGTCCTAGAAATTGCAATTGTCTGTTTCTAAATCTAAGTATAGGCGTCATTTTTGCTTTCATATTCTCTGAAAAAATTGCTGGCATATTCAGACCATGGTATTCTCAGCATCCTTCTCTTGAACCATTTATTCAAGACTCTGTATAGAAATTGTCCAGTGTTCACTACCATATAGGAGGACCGGTGGAGTAATGGATCGCGGCTCGGATTGAGGAATCTGAGAGCCGAGTTCGAATTCCAGTCATATCCATTAACTGACCTCCAATTGGTTGTAAACTGGGGCAGGAATTGGATGGTTAACTTTAATGCCCCTAAAGCAAAATTGCTCTCTATTACTCCCCACAGGGAACCCTCCCTGCCACCCATTAGAATGTCTGATACTCAACTCCACGAGAGCTCCTCTTTACGACTGCTTAGTCTCATACTGTCCGCTAACCTGAGATAGAACAATTCCATTGAATCAATAGTTTCATCCACCGCAAGGAAAGTTGGTTCTCTGTGTTGTGCCAAAAAGGTTTTTCTCGCCTGAGTCCGTTCTTTAGATCTACAAATCAACCATTCGCCCTTGCATGGAATACTGCTGCCCTATATGGTCTGGTGCCTCCGCTATTCGTTTTAAGGTCCTCGACAAGATCCAGAGACAGATAAGCAATGTGGTTGGTCCTGATCTGGCAGTTTGCCGTCGCCACCCCCCCCTTCTTTTCTACAAATACTTTCACGGTAACTGCTCCGACGGGCTGCTTTCGCTAGTTCCCAGATTGCATGAATTTAAGCGTGCTATTAGGCTGGCATCTCGGCCCAACCCTTTCACTGTCGAAACGGTAAAATATCACCGTCTCTTCTACTCCAATAGTTTCATGTCTCGCACCTCTCGTCTGTGGAACTCCCTCTGTATTACTTGTTTCCCTGATAGCTATAATCTCCAACTATTCAAATGTAATGTCAATCAACATCTGCAGATGCCCTGAACTAGCCCCTGCCTTTCTCTTCATTCTTTCCTCCACCACACCTCTTTACTTTCGCTCCCACCTTGTAACCCCCTGCGTACTAGTGGCATCCCGCCTTGTTTGGGGTGAAATGCATAAAAAAAAAAAAAATCACGTTATGTGAAAGTTATGAATTCTCTTCTTTTCCCTAGCAGGACAGATGGCAACTGTTCTACCACAGGAAGAAATGGCAACCTACAGCGGAAAAAAAAAATCTGCCTCGATCTGTATCGAAAGATTCATGATCGACTAAGCGTGTATCACACATGGCACATAACTGACTGATAGGAGGACCGATATTACGTTGCAGTTCAGAACTCTTTTCTGTATTTCTAACGAAATTTTCCTGTTTCTTAATACTTTGCTTAGATTTACGAGACTTCTTTTGCTATTCAAATGCGCCTTCAGATTTTGGTATCGCATTTTCTGTCCTCTGTTTTCCGAGCTGTTTAATTTTAAACTTGCTTGATGCAACTAATTTGCCTAATTTTACACTTACAGCTGTTATCATTCTTAGAGCTGCTTCTGCTATTTTCATCTGTTCTTGTGCTGCGGCCACTAAAAAGGTTTCGGTCACTTCTATATTCTTCGTAATTTTAAAAGGACAGAGAAATAGTGCCACTACCAACGGCTAATGCTTAAGTATCATTAAATGTTTCCATCAATTAATTTCGGTCAGTGGGATTTCAAAAGAAAAATCATAATTCTCGCAATACATTTATAATTACAAATGTTGCTGTTTAATTGGGAGAGATAGATAGAAACCGATAGGAATAGATAGATAGATAGATAGATAGATAGATAGATAGATATAAACAGATTGAGATAGATAGATAGATAGATATAAACAGATTGAGATAGATAGATAGATATAAACAGATTGAGATAGATAGATAGATATAAACAGATTGGGATAGATAGATAGATAGATAGAAACCGATTGGGAGAGATAGAAACATATTTGTATATATATATACATACATATATATATATATATATATATAAAATAGACATAAGTTGAGATAGATTGATAGATGAAAAGATAGATAGGTCCGTAGATAGAAACAGATCGAGGTGAAGAATAGAGATAGGTAGGTATATAAATAGAAAAAAAAGTTTGAGGTAGATAGATAAGTAGGTAATTAGAGACAGATTGGGATAGAAAGAAAATGATTGGGATATATATATATATATATATATATATATATATATATATATATATATATATATATATAAAAAGAAAGAACAGTAAGATATAAAATCCGGTGTTCTTATAGATATTTTTATTTTTACAAAATAGTGCTCAATGTAAATTTACAGAGCATTAATATTATAAATTAATTGATTTAAAATGTTTTTTTTCGCTACACAGTTCCAACCATGTTTCAAAAATAGAAGCTAAAAACCCCGAATTTAATTTTGCAATTAAATTAAAAGCATTAGTTCCATTTCATCTTCAAGCGAATTTTGGAGTAATTTTTAAAAATTACCGGGTTTTAAAGACACAGCTAAAATCACGTTTCCATGGTTACAGAATATTCTACTTAAATTGAACAAGGGATGTCTAGATTTTCCTTATGTCAGTATCATTGTATCAGTTATTAGCTGCAATTTGGTAAGGGGTAGGGATGTATTTTACAATGAAACCTAACATCAGTTGAATGGATGTCGTCTGGATTGTTTTAAATAAAAAATTGTTAACGGTAAAAAAATTCAACGTCATTTTTTAAATTTAAAGATTTTCGTTTTTTTTTTTTTTTCCCTAATACTTTTTATTTAACTACGATTTGAAATATTCTCTTTTTAAGAACAGTTAAATGTATTAGAATCCATTATATTCTGTAGGATTATTTTAACATCAAGTTTAAGTATGTATATGAGGTTACATTTTTATTTTTTTTTTTTTTTTAATTTATGACTATGACGGCAAAAATGGTTACTTAATTTCACTGATTTAGTAAACTTTTATTTTATATATAAACCTAGTAATATAATGTTTCTCATGTAAGTACTAAGGACATGGGTCATTCAAAAGCGTACATCTTATGGCATTTCATATTAATCTATATATATATGTGTGTGTATGTGTGTAGATCGATAGTAAAAGAGTGGGATATAAAGATATATACATAGATATGAATAGATTGACATACATAGATATATAGATAAATAGTAAGATAGAATCAGATATAGATATATAGATAGGAACAGACTGAGATAGGTTGATAGTAACAGTTTAGATAGATAAAAACAGTTTGAGATATAGATAATAACAAATTTAGACAGATAGATAAATTAACAGAAAGAAACAGATTGGGATAGATAGAAACAAATGTGTATATACAGAAAAAATGGGATACATATATCGAAAAAAGTGATTGATATAAACCGATTGGGATAGATAGATAGATAGATAGATAGATAGATAGAAACCGTCTGGGAGAGATAGACAGAAAGAAAGAAACCGACTGGAATAGTTAGATAGATAGATAGAAAGAAACCGATTGGGTAGATAGATATAAACAGATTGGGAGAGATAGGTAGAAACATAATTGCATAGATAAATATATAGAAAAAATATAGATAGATAGACAGATAGATACGAACAGATTAAGATAGATATATAGGCACACATTGGATAGATAGATAGATAGATAGATAGATAGAAACAATTTTGGATAGATAGACAATAACAGAATTGTACATATATATATATATATATATATAGAGAGAGAGAGAGAGATAGAAACAGTTTGTGATACATAATAACTTTTTGGGATAGATAGATAGATAGATAGATAGATATAAACTGATTGGGACAGATATAGAAACAGGAATAGATGTATAGATAGATAGAAAGCGATTAAGATAGACTCCTACAAGCAGACTGAGATCGATATATAGGTATGAACAGGTTGACATTGATAGTTAGACTCAGTTTAATCAACATACACGTGCGTATGCACCCAAGCACAAACATACCGAAAGACTGAATATAAGGGCGCAGTTATAAGATATTCACAGAGAAACAAAGAAAAGCAGAGAACTACAATCGATATTTACAGAAGCCAAGAGCACTAATAAACAAGATGCAGGCATGAAATATTAATGTATGTGTTTGTATAAAAACACGTAAGTAGAATAATGTCTTGGCTCGTAGCTGATAATTCTTTTTCTTCAGAGCTAAATGCGCTGCAAATGTAGGATTTCGAATGTTAATTTTCTAGACAGGCAGGTCTTCACCACTTTGAATATTTGTGTAAGAAATTTTCATATCATCAATTTTCAACTATCTGATCTTATGTCGTAATAAGCTAAGATTAGAGATAATCAATCAGATATTTCAAATAGAAATATAAAAATGCTCCAGTTGAGGACAGAACGTTGACTTTTTGTGACGAACATTGTCTTTTGTGAAGCCCCATTAAACAGTACGATAAATAGACAGACAGACAGATAGATAGATATGAAAAATAAATTGATAGAATACCATTGAGTTTTTCAAAATAGCTAGATGGCTAGATAGATATGAAATAAGAATTGAGAGAATGGCATTGATTTTTTCAAAATAGATATGAAAAAGAAATTGATAAAATGGCATTGAATCTTCCAAGACAAATAGACAGACAGACAGATAGATAGATAGATGGATAGATAGATAGATAGATAGATAGATAGATAGATAGATATGAAACAGAAACTGATAAAATGGCATTGGATCTTTCTCGCTAGCTCGCTAGCTAGCTAGATAGATAGATAGAGAGAGAGAGAGATGCGACAGAAATTGATAAAATAGTATTGATTGCATCTTTCAGGATAGATAGAATGATAGATAGACTGATAGATAGAAATAGAATGGCATTGAATGTTTTCAAAAATTACTGTTGATCGTTAGTGGGCACATATATCCTTGTATGATACTTGATTAAGATACAAAAATACCTACATTCATTAAATTCTGTGATTTCTCGTGCTACTGAAACCTTGAACAGATCATTCACCCTGCAAGGCATTCATATATTGCTTGCAAGATCTGCTTTTCCCTGAAAAAAGTAATGTTTTGTAAAACAACATAATAAAAAGAAAACCCTATTTCAACCACCACAATTGTCACTTGACAATATTTGCGAGTAACTGCAAACAATTGATGATCCTCCAGTTCTTTTTTTTTTTTAAATGGCTTGTCGTAGGCGATTAGTACGTCAATGTGCAGGTAAAATCCGTCATTAACTAGGTACATGCACTACCGTAAACTAAAGTTAGACGTGTGGCTCAACAGATAAGAGTGTCGATTCTTATCTTCTCTTGGCTCGGTTTAATAGAAAAGGCATTATATATATATATATATATATATATATATATATATATATATATATATATATATATATATAAGAGCTAAGTATGGCATCATCTAAATTAGCAACGGCTGAAAAGAAAATTTTTGTTTTTCGAAAATAAGTCTTCGACTTAATTTCAGGTGACGAGACTTTCCATCAACAGAAACCTAATTATATATCGAATATGTTAAGCCAAATATTAATGTATGTTTTCCTTGCGAAATGAACAGTGATTGATTTTATATTGAATAAAATATGAAAAATTTGAAAGTGTTATTTACTCCTGGCGATATAAGCAAATGTAAAAAAAGAAGCTAAATCCGTGATGTCCTGATTACAAAAACAAAAAAAAAAAAACAAAAAAAACAAAAAAACAAAAGAAAAACAACGGAATTTATATTCAATCATTAACCAAACCAAAATATTGTCTTTAAATAATAATTATCGATTGATACCACAAGTAATGATTTTAACCATTTCGCGTTGTTGTTTTAAGCAAAGCAAAAAGTCCGAAAAAAACGTGTTTGATGGTTTTTCATCGGAAATTGTTCTATTATTACATAAAAACAGTGCTATAACTGAGTGTGAATCGATTATCCAACATCAGTAATATGGCGTTGCATAGTATGAGGACTAAAAATATTATATTAGTCGTATGTAATGTTACTCTTATTGGTTGCGCTGCTAATTCTGCCCTCGTTGCTACAACTGCTTGTTCACGCATTTCGCTGCTACTGCGGCTACGTCTCCAGCAGCAGTAGCAGACCAACGGTCGTCCATCAGTACAGCGCAGGCTCTGTACCGCGTTTTGTTTCTCTTTCCTTCTTTTCTTTCTGTCTCTCTAATCTTCCCCCTTCTCTCATTTCTCTTCCTCTCACTCTTGTCTCTTCTTCTATTACTTTCCCTTCTATATCTGTTTTTCATTCGTTCTTCCTCTCTCTGTTGCTACAAGTCTACGCGCTCCCTAGTCCTATGTTAAGGGACGGACGGGTTGGATGTCTGCAGAAATATATAGACCTCCAGGCCGGAAATGAGGTAAGTTTATTATTATTATTATTATTATTATTGTTATTATTATTATTATTATTATTATTTAGTTACTTAGTTAATTAGTTTGTTATTATAAATTATTGCATAGTCACTTTTTGTAGTAAAGACATTTGGGGTATGTATAATTATTTATGTTCGTAGAACCCTTCATCTTTCTTATCTATCTATCTATCTATCTATCTATCTATCTATCTATCTATCTATCTATCTATCTATAAGTGTACGTATACCTTTAAGCCCATACTTAATTAGAGTACATATCTAATTATAGAGTTAAAATATCTATCTATCTATCTATCTATCTATCTATCTATCTATCTATCTATCTATCTATCTATCTATCCCAAGAGTTTCCACGTTTTCTTTCTTTTTTGTGGTTATTCTTGAAAATATTTTACCGTTATTGTTTTTTCTTTTAAGTCCTACGTTTATTTTTATTCATAGACCTCCACTATCTCCTCTCGTTATGAACTGTTACTTCTTTTATTTTATTATATTTTTCGTCTATATTCGTGTTGGCCATTTATATTAGACGAAATAAATAGGGAGGGATGCAAACAAAGACACACATAAAGAGAGAGGGAGAGAGAGAGATACAAGAGAGCAAAAAGAGAGGTAGAAATACGTTTAATGTATCAATTGTAACGACAAAATAATCGATTGACTGAAAGATTGAAAAAGAAAAACGTACAAACGCTTATGGTTATCCTTTTATTTTTCTACCTTCTCTACTTACCAAAATCCTTGTTGTCATTTATTCGGTTGCATACCTGTACTGATACCTGCCTGAAAAACTGGCAAACTTACCTGGCATCTCATGTACCAAATATATACCGAAACACCACGCTCTCACTGTGTCGACTGGCAGTCTTATTTCAGCATATTAATCAGAATTTTTTTTTATTATCAAAGATTACTGGCCATAAAAGAATTTATCAATAAAGTTTATAAAAAAATAATCACATTGCTGACAGTGACAAAATTTATATCCATATATTTTAAAAGAAAAACAGAAAGAAAGAGGAAATAAGGTTAAAAAATAAGAAATATAAGAGACGTTGCTGAAAAGTACTCGGCCCAACCCACTTCTCAAAATGTAACCAAATAACAAATAATTAATTCTGATTTATATTGGATGTTTTTCTCTTGATCGAACCGAAAACCATTCTGTACACACTCGTAATTGACTTAAGGTATTTCGTTTTACAAGGTTTAACAATACTGGTTGAATAAAATTACTAGGGTCTAGTTGGCTAAATTTATTTTAACCAGTAATTAACGCTACATGGAAATGTACAGAAAGGTACCTAACATATATCCAATGAAGTTTGTTATTTTAAAACTGAAACGCATATAGATTTATGTGATTCTTGTACGTCCTATTGACGATGTAGTGTCATGCAGTGTCCATTTATTGTCTTAAAACGCGAAAATTACGTTTAGTTGAATCGTAGACGGAGAAATTTTTTAACTCTAAGAACATAAAATGGTCAAAGTAAGAAAGTAGGTAAAAAAAGTATGCTAAAACCTTTTTTATTTTAGGCTTAAATAAAACAAAGACCATCATACACGTGCAATTATAAGAAAGTAATGAACATATAATAACAACAATGTCCAGAGTGGTGAATATTCATGAGACTGAAGTGCCTTCTCCACGGTGATTTTATTGAGACACCATCTCTAGTTAGCTGGACGTTGACTAAAAAGCTTCTTTAAATGACTGACAGAACATGTATTAAAAGATATAGCAAAAAATACAAACTTTACTAATGGCTACAAAGGATAAGAAATTGCGGAGAGCCATGATCATTCACGTAACAAATGAAAAATATTTTTTTTATCCATGTTCCATATTTTTACAAGTCGTGGATGATCATGGCTCTCCTCAACTTCCTGTTTTTTTTTTTGCTGTAATTATTGTTCTTTTAAGAACACTCTTTGTTTTTATTTTCTTTAGCCTTCTGTTTATAAAACCTAACAAGGATTAACACACACTCACACATACACACATATATATATATATATAAGCGATCGTATATTATTACTTTTAATTTTAGATTTGTACTTATTTGCACTAGGCTTGGTCTTTGTTTATTTTAAGTGTTAGTACAGGAAATTGTGGAGAGCCATAATCGACAACGTCCTGAAGGGACACAAAACATAGAAGAATAAGATATATGTAATTACACGAATTACATATTTGCTTATTGAAAATGGTACACATGCAGATGAATTTTGTGGGTGGATGTTGGTACCCATTAAGAAATGTGGGACAATTTTAATGCTGTGGAGGCCAGGATGCCTTTCCCCACCCACTCTGTTCACGCTTGAGTTATAAAAAAATATTTTTTTTTAGCCAGAATAAATAAAATATGTATCCGATAAAAAAAATAATAATGACGAGGCTCCTTAGCAAGCTGCCATCGATAAAATAATGGCCCATGCCTTAGAGCGCCATCTCTCCATTTTAACGACAGAACATTGGTTTCCTCTTCAAATAAAGTAAAAAAAAAATCTGTATGCTTTCTCCATCATCGAAATTTACATATGACACACAATGTTTGTATTCTTTTTTTCATACCAATCTTCACTTAATACAAGGCCGAAGAGCCACTCAAGGTAGAGGCTTAAGGTGAGCGTAAGAAAGGGAAATAAATGAAGTTCATGGGGCTCTAAAGGAAAGTTAACGGTTAACCTTAGACTTGAAGAGGTCAGAATTGCAGCGATTGGGAAAACATTCAGCTGGAAGTCTGTTTCCCTAAGTCTGCAGTTCTAGGGACGAAGCTGTCCGAATGATGCTTACTTCTTACTATAGGATTACGAAGGGATATGGGAGATTATTCACCTTTGCAGACATACAGAGATACACATATATACGCAAACACATATACGCACAGAGTTTGAGTGAATATTTATATATGTATGCATGTATATATGTATGCATTTACTCATCTGTGTATACATGGATAAATGGATGGATTCTGGAGTCGAGAACGATGTATGAAGGGCTAATAATTTTTTTTATGGGAGTGTTATTCAACCTGCACACGTGGATTGTTTCGAGTGGTTAATTGCCTGTGCCCTGTGATGTACACACTTTTCATCCTAGCATCATGTCCTGTACTGGTGCAATGGGCGCCACGTGCCAGATGATGCTACAATCCCAGGCTTTTCCTTCTTCCAACTGGATGTTGGTCGTTAGATCCTATAAGCAATTCAGACGAATTTTGATAACCGACTCAGGGCTGCTTTGAATTCAATGTTTTTCTTTTTAGACTGGTAGCCAACCATGGCCATTTTGCCCATAGCTCTATGGTATATATATATA